TTTTTTTTTAAATAGCCAGGTCTAGGATTATTGTTATTTTCAAAACTGAATATAAAGATGGTTAAAAATGTGGGGTGTGGATTTCTCCCTCTTGCTGTTGAACTGAAGCCTAAAGCCATTCTAAGTCAGGCACCAAAGTGATAAACTTACCTGGTGACATGTATTTTGCTTTTTGTAAAATAACTTTGCTTTCAAAAACTCATCTGTAAACCTCCTTATCGTTTAATTCAAAAGTTAGATGCTCAAGAAATTAGGGAAGAAGATTACACTGCATTATTGTAAAGATTCTGAAGTCATCTGTCGTAGGAGTGACTTATTCCAAGGCTTTGGTCAATTCAACATGTCTTTTTATTCCCTGTGCCCATTACTGTATGGAAGGTTACACGTTTCTAGTCAAATTGGGAGCTTGATTTTCTACTCTTATTTTTGTAGGTAAAAATAATTTCGCTTTTATCACTAAGTAAATATTAAGAATCTAAAGAAAAACAAGGGTACTTCAAAAAGTTTGTGGAAAGATAAAATTAAAAGATAATATGAATATTTCTGTGAACTTTTTAAAGACCCTTTTTATGAGCTATTTTTTGATAATCACATTTAATTTCTGACCTTTTGTTCAGCCACCTTTTATCTTTGGGGGAATGAAGGTATGAACTAACTTGAATGTGTAGAACCAGAAAAAAACTTATAAAAGAAAAGTAAATTTATTATTTATTGTCTTAGTAGAAGCTACTCCCAAGACTGAAAATAATGTCTATTTAAAATGTTTGTGTTAAAATACAAGAGCCTAAAAGTAGTTACTTTATGCTAAACTGGTTCCAGGAGAGAGATAAATATAATAGCTGGATCATTAGTAAACTAATCAACTTTATCTTAAAAAGCAACCTTACTTTATTAAGAATTACACTTACGTTATTTTAAAATATTTGATTAACATCTTACTATTATGTATTTCAGAGCAAGTTATTACTCTCGAAATTCCAGAAGCCTCTAAAAAAAACTTCAATGTAACCAAATATTAATATAATTCAGATTGAGAGTTAGAGCTATTTGATATAATCCATGATCTATACTTTTCAGGAAGTAAAGATTTGGAATTGCCACATGATTCTATTTATCTAACAAATCATAGAAAGGAGCAACATTTCTTGAATTCAATACAATGCTTTTGATAATTAGAATATCTTTCCTCTCGAGCTATCTCGTTTACTGAATATATTAGTTATAGCCAAAATGATGTTTGGATGCTTATAGTAGAAAAGCCCCAAATAATCATGGCTTAATCAAGATAGAAGTTTGTTTTTCTTTGACATCAAAGAAGTCCGGGGCAGCAGTCAGGACTGTACAGTAGCCCCTCGTTATCATGTGGGACCCATGTTCCCACCCACATGCTCCAACATCTGCTAGCTGGCATACTCCAAAGCATCTTTGGGTCTGTGTTGGCAGCTGGAGCTCCAGGCACCAAGTCCACATGACAGACTGGAGGAAGAGGGAGAACCAGAAGTTCAGAAAGGGGGCATTTCCTAATTGAGTCACTCCTTTTAAGCAGTCCTCCCAGAATTTCTACACAGCAATTCCACTTACATCTCATTAGCCAGAACTTAGCCACATGGCCACACCTGGCTGCAAAGGAGATAGAGAATGTAGTTTTAAATTCTGGGCAGGAATATGCACAGCTGAAAATCAGGATTTTTCTCACTGAGGCATGAGGGAAGAATATATGTCAAGGTAGGCAATGCCACTATGTTTTTGTGTTCCTATTATATGCTGGCTCTTGGGGCTACCATGTAGAAAATCAAAACACCTCTT